GTAACCAAATAATCTATCATTTATTCAGACGATTAATTGAGTAATCCAATAAAAAATGGACAATTCTGCTAAAAAACAAAACAAAAAAAACAACCTTTTTTAAAAAGTGCAAAGAACTGGTTTTGAACAGTGGTACCTCAGCAGGTATTTCTCTGACTGTATTCAGTATTGGACTCTAAATGAGTAAAAAAGTAGAAAAATTGTGAACAACATTCATAATCTTGAAAAAACTCGTGACTGAGACTTGCATGATCGTTTATAAAAAGGCCATGCTCACTGGAGGCACATTTCAAAGAAATCAAGAGCGGCTCAAGACTTTTGCACAGCGTTCCTCTGTCTCTTTCATTCGGTTGTCCCCCTCCCAAGGTTAACGTTATATAATGCTTGTTAAGGATTCAGTCTGCTGCTTGCCCGTCCCGCACAAACACCTACAGTCTGGTGTCCCCTGGGAATGTAACCTGTAAGCTAAAGTCATCACGTCACTTCTATTTTTAGGCCACGCTGAAACACACACTTTGTACACACATCGTGTTTATAGACGGACACTAATGTTCCCTTAATGGGGCATTTGTGGTTTGCTGCAGCTGGAGATGAGTATGAGTAAGGGCTAGGTATTTGAAGGTATTAAAATGCCTATTCACACAACGCGCATTCTCTAAAAGACACACACAGCAATCAACATTACTGAAGTCGCCAGACAAACAGGGCTTGCCCAGGAACACAGCAGCAGTCATCAGTCAGTCAGTCAGATGACAGACCTGACTGAGAGTAGGATTAGGACTCTATCCTCTGCCCGACTCCCTCTGCGCTCGAGTGTTTAATTATACTGTGATCGCTGATAAATGTAGCAGAAATTACTGTCTCAGCGCCCACTTTATTGCAGTTCCTGTCTTTCTTTTCTCTGCCTTTCGTAGGCATCTTGCTCAAAAGTTGACTAAATTGTCATTCCCTTATAAATAACCTCGCGTCGCTCCGTGAGCCTCTCTCTACAATTAGTCATTCATGACATCAGTAAACGAAGGGTACGGTCATAAGAGCAGGCAATTTGAGCAACAATGTGTCACGCTAGTTTATATAAGCTCCGGACTGGCTGTACAGTCTGCTGAATGAGCACAGCAATTTACACGTATGCAGTATAATGCAGCAAGGACGCAACACTATGGCTTTTTTTATTATTATTATTATTATTATTATTACATAGAACATTTATAGTATTGTAAACAAATTCTAAAACTAATGATTTAGTCAGTGAAAACATATTTACATGGCATAAGTTTGTTTAATTGAAACCCAATGTTTACATACACAGTCTAGAAAGAATTATAGTCCTCATTTTTCACTCCAACTACACAGTTTGACCTTATAAGTGTTGTTTCAATGTGTGTGTGTGTGTGTGTTTTTTTAAGTTATTGTACAATATTGCAATACATGCTACAGCGGGAGTTTGGTTCAGGCAAACTTGTGGAAATTAATGTGCTTGCACGTTGCACACTTCATGCTGCTGGTTTTTCTGCCATACATAACTAGGTTTTTGACATGGGGAAATACTCTGTAGGCTAAAACCACTGATCATTTTCCCCACCTTATGGAGACTGGTGCTTCGTTTTTGTCATGGCACCTATGATGTGTCCAGCAACCGTTTTCTGTGGCAAATTTTTATTTGCTTTTCTACATGCAGGCCTGCTCAGAAGGGAAGTGGGATAATTCCTGTTCGGTATTTGATGCGGCGAATTCCCAGACTGCCCCAGGCAATGTTGGATGTTTGTTATTACGCAGGAAACTGCCCATTTGTTCTGATAACCAGCTTTTAAGCCATCTGTCCCCTCTGACTCTCAGTTTATGTAAAGCACGGCATCCAGGAAAACACAGATGTGGTGGTTGTTGTCCGAATTAGCAGCAGAAGCAAAACAAGACAATCCAAAAGAAATTATTTCTGGAAATTCACGTCTCGTAGTGTTTTGTTTCCTTTTCCTCTGCTATTCTGCATGTCTGACCGAGTGCGGTTGTTTTTGAATATTCCGACCATCTGTGTGTTGCTCCAGTGCACCTTAATAAACACTTGGCTGACCCGCTGCCATTCCTCTCTTTTCCAAACATGTTTTCCTTTTAGCTGAACTTCAGCCAGGCGCATCAGATCAACACTTGTAATAACACAACAGGATGTCGTAGCTTGTCTATATCGCCAAACAAACTGTTTCTCAAGAGCAAAACCAGGTTATATTGATCCACTCTGGCCTTCCTGTTGTTTCAGCTCGGCGCGCTACAGCGGAGGTAATATCTGTACAAGAGTGAGTGATGTTCAGGGTGATTTGGGTATCTCTCCAGGGCACCAGAACAGGACGCGATTTTGATACGGTCATCAAGATCCACGAGGGAAATAAAGTGGAGATTCTGTAGACTTATGGGTACTAATGGAGGAGCAAACCTATTTAGATTGACAATATTGAAACACTTACCAGTAGTGACGGTAATTGTAATGATAGCATTGCGTTAGCCTTTTATACTTTTACATCCTAATGTCATTTCTCTTTAAAAGAATGTCGGTGTTGAGTATAAAGAAAAGACGCTACTTCTTTTCCTCGGAAATTACAGATAAAATCTTATCAGAAAATGTTCTATTGGTATCTAAAGATAAGTTATTAATCCTCATTCTAAAAAAAAATATTGTTGTGTTCTGTGTTTTCTGTGTAGTTATTTTTGAGGTTTTCTGTGTTTAGTCCTGTCCCTGTCCTGTCTTCCCTGTTGATTGCTTCCCAGGTGTGTCTCATTTCCTGATTACCCTCCTTGTGTATTTAAGTCCACCTGTTGTCTTTGTCTCTTGTCGGATCCTCGTCAAGCGATAGTCTCCCTAGTGTCACGTTGCCTGTCGGTCCCCCCCCCCCGAGTTGCTTGCATCTGGACTTTTTCAACATTAAACTTTCATCTTCGTCTTCTTCAACCTGGGTCTCAGTGTTCTTTCTCACAACAAACAACCACAAATCATGACAAAGATGTTCATTTGGTCCTATCTTTCCTTAAGACCTTCAGAAACCTTATTTTTGTTTTGTTTACCTTACGTTTTATTCTATGTGTTGAAACCTGGTAGAGAAACACCCCAAAAGAAGGGAGAAAAAATAGAAAGAGGAAACATGTGTTCTGTACATTGTAAAATAATTTGTAACAAGTGGTTTAAAAACAAAAGAAAATGTGAATTGGTAAGGGGGGGTACAAGTACTTCTGCACTTCACTTCAGTGTGTGCATATAGTTTTTTGTTTTTTTTTCTTGTTCTTAAAAGCATATCCAAAGCAATTTAGGACAGCTAAATACGTGAGTGAAGTACAGAGCACAGACAGATATAGAGCAATCATACAGAACCTTCATCCGTTAGCTGTGCTGCAGTGTCACTGCCAACTGTGCTTGGCATGCACATTTGAGAACAAATACCTTCTGATGTTTCAGCCTGTCCCGAGTGCCAAGCTCCTGGGTGGGAGCAGACTGATTATAGCTGCAGGGCATGGCCTAAGGAAATCAGAGAAATCTGATTCAAGACACAGTGAACGAAGTCAGTGAGGCTGCCGAACAAAACAGAGGCCTTCAAATGCAATTTGCATTCCTGTGATAAAACTGAGGCAACAACAAAAGGATAAAAGCTGAGAAAACAATGAAGAGTGTCTGGGAAAATGATGCCATTTCATCAAGTGATGGATGCATCATCCTTCAGCTGATTGTTTCCTGCATGCCAGAGTTTTACCTAATGGCTTTTTAGGGTCTGAAAAAATAAATTCTCACTGGTTATGAAATTTAAAGACATGGAGGATGTCTGCAAACTCTTTCACTGCTGTATTTCCGTGGAGTAGTGGTCACGATTGGCTATTAGCGTGCAATAACATCACTGCTATTAGTTAATATCTCAAAATATTTCCCGTGCACAAGTCATAAAATAATAGTACAGTACTGTTTAGGTTCTAGCACAGCCGGTCTGCCATCCCAGTGGGACGCCTGCTTTATTCTCTTCCTTTTATCACATTGCTCTCCATTCAACTGAGTCAATTCATCGATACAGACACGCAGGGGCAGCAGATACGTCAACCAGCCAGGAGAAGCAAGTCTCAGTCTGTAAGACATCAAATGTGCATTCTTTTTGAAAATGTACACAGTTCATAATCATATTTCTTCTTTGGGACGGAATACTGTGTTATGTGTGTTAATGTGATAAAATGCAACAAATGTGCAAGGTGTATGCAACTCTGACCTGAGCAGTAGGGTGCTTTATCCAGGCTAGCTGATAACTCCTAAAACTCCTTAAAGTTTTAACTGAACTGCAACTGGAGAGCACAAAAAATGTCTACAAAATCTTCCCCAGCTTCTATTAGCCAGTTTGTAAGAAATCTCAAGAATGATTGAGTGAAACATTGGGTAGAGACACAGCAAGTAAATCAGTGAAGCGTTTCCTAGAAAGAGCTCTGCATGCTAATGTTACATGATGTGTTTTTTTTTAAGTTATTTCTGCAAACTTTGATAATAAGTGATATGTCTAAATTTATATTGTATTGACATTTACACAAAAGCACTCCCAGGGAGTGTTAGTTAATGATGTCGCTATCAAAGCAATACTTTCCACCGAGTTACTTTTTTTTTTATGTTTATTGAAATATTCAACTTCCAGCTGAAAGAACGTCAAGTTACTGAATAAAAATTCCACTGCTGGGTTCTTCTGTGAACTAAATCTAATGTGGAAATTCAAATTTAACACTCCACATATTTTGAATTTTGTTGAAGTGAACCACAATATTCCCCAGATCAAGTGCAGCCTATCATACCATATTCATCTTTTATGATTCCAGCTTGGAGTAGCCATGTCTCTCAGGGAATCTCTGTCTGTCTCTGTTCATGTCACTCCTGGCAGCTTCCTCCAGGACATGCAAGGGGCCAGGACGAATAACCTAGAAAGACTTCAGCAGTGACTGTGTGCAGCGATCTTCGATGGTGAATGATCTCTTCTTCCTTTATGTTCCCACAGGTGAGGAATGATCTGACCTATGAACTGGAGAAAGCAAACATTCACATTGCAGATACAGAAAGTTTTTCCAATGATCCCTGTGTCAATGTCAAAAAGCTGAAGGTAAGCAAGACCTTTTGTGTTAAAGACACACTAAAGATAAAGACCTAAGTTAGTAAATGTTTTTATGTTGTAAAACGTGTCATATTATATTGAGTTAATAAGCATGCTCATGTCCACTTTCACATTCAAACTTGCAATATCATTAGATATTTTAGTACATTTTGATTAAAACGATTTCACTTTCACAATTCTGACACAATTAATATGCAGTATTGAACCCTGAACTGGTTAATTAGCGATTGTTTTAGCCAAACAGAAATAAAATGGATAACCCTCACATTCCCTTGTTTTGTTTCATGTATGTAAGAAAGTAAATTCAACTGCAGATGGCATTTAATGTAATATAACAACAGTTTGGATTTATGTGTGTATATATATATATATATATATATATATATATATATATATATATATATATATATATATATATATATATATATATAGTCACAATTACATAAGAATAACCTATTATTTTGAAAATTGTGTTTAATTTTGGCAATAGTCATAGTTAATTTTGTATAAATCAATCTAAATTTTGTCCAAGATCAGCTAACTTTAGCATGAGAGCAATGGGTTTGTGGGGATGAAAGATTCAAAAAGTAATGGTTGATTCAGGCTGCATGACTCTATAATAAAAAGAAGGCTTGGATGCAAATCAGCCTCTTACACTCCATGCTTTTTGTAAGAGTAAAATATCGAGTATTCACTGTTGCTTTCGTGATGCTGCAGATGTAAATTTGAAGCACATAGTTTTTTCTTGTCATGTCAAAAAATTTAACGCGGTGAGAAAACTAGAAGCTAAATGAGAAAAGTAATTAGTAGGAAACATATTTTCTCTTTTCATGCTGTACCTTGGTAGATAACATGTTACACAAGTTAAAAGACATGTGAAGACATCATTCTTTCTTCTCTCTCCATGAGGCAGAGAAGAAAGAATGATGAGCTGTCCTAAAATAAAAATGTAATCTGCATGTTAAGGTGTGACATTCTAAGCTGACATCAACGGATTTGAGCTAACTGGAGATATGCAAATCATGGTATTGCCTCAGACTCTTTGCAGAACATTTGTAAGGAGTGGGCGTGATCCTCTGACACTTTAAAAAGTCGGATTCCCACTCAGCATGTAACAGTGTTTAACTGTCTCCATCACAGCAACATAATATGATAAGGATTTTTTTTCTTTGTTTCGTGTGTTAGGATGGATAGGAGGCTCTCAGCATCACAGAGAGATCCACAAATAGAGCACTCTCACTCCGTAATGTTTCAGCTTAAATATTCAAAATGCATACAGGGAAAACTCTGGCAGGAAATTGCAGCTTTCCACCTTGCTTATTTTTGCTCAGTTTGTGTGGTTTTTTTTTTTAAAAAAAAAATGTTCTCTTGTTTCTTGTCTTACATTTTGAGGAAGGATTAAAACACAAAACGCCGGTAGAACAAAAAAAAAAGGCCTTCATTTGAGACCGGAAGCATCTATTTTTAATTTTAGTTTGTTATTCATAAATTTGACTGTGAAATATCTGTGCTGAGTTGGAATATATTGGGATATGGAAAGGAATATGTGTGAGTGCAGGGTTGCTTGTCTCCTGGATCTTTGTTAGCATGGCTAATTCATATTGGCCTCTATCGCTCTAGGAAAGATTTGCCTAATTCGGCTTCTGTGCTACATTGTATTTGCGACTGGCCCATTTTTTATCGGTTTTGTGATCTGTTCCGTCCCCTTCATTTCTCTCCAATGGGAGCAATGATTGTCATCTTGGGTCACTGTTTTGTTTAGTTTTTTTTTCTTTTTTTTTTTTTTTTCTAAATTATAGTCTGGTTGCAAAAAAGCACAATGTGGAAGCAAACCATGGCAAACAAAAAGTAAATAAATAAATAAAATAATGTCCACTTTTGTTCCGGACCACACAGGCAGATCAAAGTACTTTCCTTTTGTAAATAGATCTACAAGATCTACATTTCTTAATTTCACAAGTAAATTTTCATCACACAATTTCATAGAAAGACATCAATCATTGCCTTAGTGTATGTGTAAGTGCATAGATTGTGTAAAGGGAACCATTCAGTTTATGGGCCTCATTGTGTTGTAGTCAACACAGTACAGTCCGATATTTGTTGGAGGTCCGGTGGATGTATAGCTGCCTAGAATTAGCTCAGGATGAATACCTTACACTCTTGCACAATCATTATAGGTTTAACGATTTTATAAAGTATTTTATTGATGCCAATAAAAATTCTAAGGCACTTCTGCTACTTCAAATCCCCAAATAGCACAAAGCCAGAGCAAGAGTCTCACTCTGAGAGCACTGAACAGCTTGAAGGACCAATCGACTCTGTGTTCTAGTTTCATACGCCTCTACAGGTTTGAGCTGATGTTAATATTTCAGCTGAGATTTGCCTGTAGGAGCAACTGCTCACATAGTTTGTCATAATTGTATATTACCCTTTAACAGTTAACGTACGTGTAAGTTCATCCTCGGAGAGTAAGTGTTTGACAGTTTCTGCTCATCATGTCATAGTTATCATGGTGATGGGGTTCATGTTGTTTTGTAGAAACAACAAAGCCTAAATGGACTTTTCCCCAAGCCCACAAGAAACCATCAATATCACATTTATGCGTTTGGGCTTAATAAGCCGTAAATATACTTGATTGTGTACAAGAGGTAAAATATCGCTCAACTCACTGCAATATATTAATCACAATTATAAAGATACAAATAACCCCGTTAAGGATGAAGCAGCCAAAGTTGCCCTTAACTCCACCCTCTCTGAGAACAGTAATTGTTACAGTTACATAAAAGCTTGAGCAATGGGGCTAATTTGGGCCTCTTCAGTGCCTGAGTCTCTCTATGTTATGCTCGAGCACAACACACTCACTCTTGCCCTTGCCTACAACTGTACAGCCTTTTCTATGCGTTACCAGACATGCTTGGGTTTTCACTCAGACTGTGGCTCCTGGCTGTCATTGGAGTCATTTGGGTTAAGTGCCTTTCCTTGAGGGAAGAGCAGCACTGTTGAGTTGCCACTGGGATATGTCTTCACCACACATTTACAAACATGTGCAAAGTAGCACAAAAGCACAACTTGGTGATTTACAAAGTTGTTGCCTGGTCTTCAATTGTACAAATACGTAAAGTGTTGTGAAAGATTGGAGCCTGGGAGACTTGTTTTGGCTCCAATGAGTAACCACTAGAGATGTGTTGGAATTAAGATGACAGTGATTTGTTGCTCCCATCAGGATGCTCAAGCCTACGGGATAACTTAATGAACTGTATTTGTAATTGCTTCCCTTTATCCAGACTAACAGGAGGATGTCATAGGTTCACTGAGTTTGCAGCCTTCATGTCCCCTTTTTTTTCCTTTTAAAGCTACATCTGCATCATTTTTCAAACTTCCATTTTTGTATTTGATGAAGTCAAAGAGATTAACATTTTTTTTAATATTTTTTCTTCTTCTTCTTTTATTGGAATAGGTAACTTACAATATCTTCAAATAGGTCAAACAGTATTGTAGGAATGTCATTCATTTGAAATATTTTCTAATATAAAAGATTAATTTCAGCATTCGGAGTTCAGTCACTTAATGAAACCCTACGTTTTGTCACCATCTGCAGGGTTAGGATTGAATACGACTCTGTAATGGACCTCTGTGGCACATCTCATCCATCCTTATAGAGATTTACATTCATCAAATCTACGTTGGCATCATTTAATTCAGTGTTGTGCAGTTCTGAATATACGCTGGCATTTTGATTGCATCTGATCAAGATTTTGTGAGCCGTATTTATGTGCCATACATGAGCATGTGATCACTGAAATCTTTTTTTTTTTTTACCATCCTGGAACAAGCTGAATTTCCACCTGGGAATCTAAATAATTTACAGAATCATTCACAAAACCACGTTGTGCTCTGAATCCCTGAGCAGCTTTTTGTTCTGAAGCCTGACTTGAGCAATTCAATGCACAGCGACCATCTCTTTTATCAATCAAGTGTGCAAGTTGATATGGATTTATTTTCTCGGCTAATAAACTCATTCAGATCAATCACGCTTTAAATCCCCTGACGAGGTTGACGTAGTGACGGCGGGAAGCACATGAGATGTTCTGTTTGGAACATTTTAATGCAGCGTTTCTCAATTTTGGCCCTTAGGGACCACTGCCCTGCATGTTTTAGACGTGTCCCCGTTCCAGAACACCTGCGTCACATGATGATCTCCTCTGCGTGCCTTTAAGTGCTGCAGAAGCTCCTTAACCACCCACTTATCCAAGACAGGTGTGTGGTCAAAAAGAAACGCCTAAAACATCACAGGTGTTGAACCCTGAGAATTGAAGTTGAGAAAAGCTGCTTTAATAATCGGACATTGATTTCATAAAATAAATACTGATCTGAAAATGGAGCCGTGTCCACTTGCCTTTTCAGCAATTGTACCCATATGTTGTGCCCATGTATTTAATCATGGAATATCATGTTATTTTTCTGCGTATTTTCTATGAGTTATGAAGATAAATGGTAATAAAATTTCAGTATCCAATGTGCCAAACATTTGGTTATGGTTCACACAGCTTGTCTCGCTTATTTTCAAACGGAGTAGCTTGCTAATGTGCTAGGCTCACTTCAACAAACTTACCTACTGTTTTTGATATAATTCTCTGGTTATCCAGTTAATAACATATTTTACTGCTTTTCCCTTTATTCCCATGTGTTCTTCTTTTTGATCAATGCTGTGTCTATACTTATCTCAGCAAAGGACTTTCAAGTGACAGAAGAATGATGAGGGGTGCTGAACTCATATTCCATGACTGAAACCAATTTGTGTAGCTAAAATAATAATTGTGTTTTTCAAAATATGTTTTTTTTTCCTTCAGGACAATGATGTGAGAATCATCATTGGGCAGTTTGATGAGCATTTGGCCTCTAAAGTCTTCTGCTGTGTAAGTCATCTATGCACACCTAGCTACCCAACATATGTATTAAATACATAAAATATATGAGTGGTTTTTGTATGAGGGTAGCATTTTTCATCAAAATATCCTACTTATATAGGATACAAGTAGGATATTCGGGTAAAATATGGGGGTGGAGGGTACAGTTTAATTTATGGAAAGGCTGCAAACATACAAAATAATTTAACATGGCATTGGTCCGAATGAGGAATTTTGAGTCTTTAACCATCTCCTGGCAGTGACCTTCAGAAATTACTTATGAGTTAAATGCTGTTTACCTCTGGCAGATTTTCTCTTTTCCAGCTTATACTTAAAAAGTTCTGTTGAATTAATCACTATTAACAGAAAACATGAAGGCAGCTTGCTAAACATAAATTTAACGTCGGGTTTTTGTTTTCATTTTTGTTCGTTTTTCCAGGCATATAACTTGAACATGTACGGCAGCAAATACCAGTGGATCATCCCAGGCTGGTATCAACGAAACTGGTGGGAGCAGGCGAACAACACCAACTGCACTTCCAGGAAGCTCCTAACAGCCATGGAGGGATACATCAGCGTGGACTTTGAACCGCTCAGTTCTCGGCCAGTGAAGGGCATCTCCGGCAGGGTGAGTTACACCAGCTGATGCAATCTAAATGCTTTCGTTGAAATTCAGAGTCGGTGAAGACGGCGGTAAATGCCTGAAACAAGGGAACGGTTATTTTGGGAATCTGGAAGAAAATTATAGGCTAAAAATAGGTTGGTAATTAAAGTGTTAGCACTCCTAAGCAAAGAAAACCCCTGTCCAACTCCTGACATACGGATGTTTTATTCTCTGTTTACTTGATCTAAAAAAAAAAAAAAAAAAAACGTTTCCTAAATCAATTTTTCCATCTGTTGTCTAAGACAAGGTTTCAAGGGTGATGTCTTTACCAAAGATTCCCAGACCTCCTCCTTCCCTCAGCTTCTTACTCTTGTCTAGGGAGATATTCCCAAGCGAACCATGAAATATAATCTCTGTCTGTCCTCAGACCTCCTTCCAGAGAGAAATGTCCAAAGACATCTCCCTTGGAAGACTTGTTGATTGCCTACTTCCCAAATACCCAAATCACCTTAATTAACTGCTTCACATTCTTCACCCACCATAGACTGGTCAGTTTATTAGCTAGTTTATTTTAGCTGCTTGTATTCCGGATCTCATCCTCTCAATTATTACCTACACCTCACGGCCACAGTTGAGGGTTGGAACATAGATCGACAGGGAAATTAACTTGGCTCTCTATTAACAGCAACAGACTGGTACAACGTCTGCTTCGCTGAATATGCAGTCCCAATCTGCCTATTGATCTCCTGCTCCATCTGCCTTCACTAGTGAACACGACCCTGAGATACTTAAAGTCTCCTAACCTGAGTGTTGACTCATTTTCAAACCAAAGTTGAAAATGAGTCAACGGCAACCCTTAACTGGACCACAATGTTGCACCTAGACATAATTGGTGGCAAGGGAGGAAGTTCTAGTGAAGTACACTCATTGGGACTGAATCCCCAAACTGGATGTGTTTTAATTTCTAAATCGAAATGTCAGTTTGTTTATACCTTAGAGCTCTGTCTCTACTACTTGCTTTTTTCATATTTTAGCATTTTAATTGCATTCCCTTATAAATGCAGTCTGACATTTTCTTCTTTTTTTTAAATGAGTGAATCTGATCCTTTTGAAAATGCTGTAGATACATTTTCTATCCCCCCCCACCCCCCAACAACTTTGCATATGTTTGAAAAGTGTTTTTGTTTTCAATTTTTATTCAGCTAAACGTGTTTGTTTTTCTTAAACTAAAAGTACAACAGAACAAATCTGAAAAAAAAAATAATAATAAAATCCATCCTCTTGCAGTTAAAATACCTTTGAAATACCACTGTAATGGTTCCAGCTGCTGAGATGATAAAAAGTAAGAAGATGAATCAACATATTCTCCGCTTTATGTCGCCTCTTCTACTTGCCTTTCAGACCCCAAAGGAATACGAGAAGGAGTATTACAGGGAGCTCCAGCAGAAAGGTGTGGAGGCAAGCAAGTTTCATGGCTTTGCCTATGATGGGATCTGGGTAATTGCAAAGACCTTGAACCGAGTAAGGGAACTGCTGCGGACAAAAGAAAGGCAAAATATATATCACAACTTCACTGTGGACGATCGGGAAGTGGGGAAAATGGTGCTTGACGTCATGAATGAAACGAACTTCTATGGAGTTACAGTAAGTCAATAAGATTATTCTTTTTAAGTGATTATTTAACGCGTCGTCTTTTAAAGTTAAACACCAGTTTCCACAGCATGTGGAGCAATTGGAGCAGCTGCTGTTGTTACAGAATAACCCATTGAATTCATCCAGCATGTACATATTCAGGTAACTTAAGACAACTCAAGCGATTCATTACCAATGAAGAAAACCTGTTGTGTTATATGGAGTGGGCGAATGGTATAACAGCAAATGGAGGCATGGATCACTGCTCCGCAAAACTGGAATCTTGTTTGCAGATTCCAAGCCATCCTTGCATCTGAATGAACCCTAGAGTCCATTCAGATCTGCACACTCTCTTCCCTCTATTTAAGATTGATCCTCGCTGTCACGGTAAAAGCTTTTTTTGTGCGCTGTTTGCTTGTGCTTGTATGTGTGTTTGAGAATACCTCCCGACTCCCTGCACTAGCCACACGAGGCTGAGATGCTTCCAACCTCAGCAAGCGCAAGGAATGCAGAGTGGCAACGCTACTTTAGGAAGTCAATTCAAACTTTAACCAGCAATGGAAAAACGAAAACTATTAGCTGATTACGGTGGGTGAGAGTAAAAAAGCACCTGATTGTTATAAATGGATAGCAGGTGGCACCTTTAAATTGAACCGTTAGTTTTTATTCCGGCATTTGTGCGAAAACACTGGGTCATCGTAGAGTCCAGAACTTCACCATCCAAATGTTTTTGAAGGCGTCTAGTAACACATTGAAGAGTGGCTGACATGGTTATTATTATTTTGTCTTCAGTTGAGCTTAGACTACTTGCCTACTTAGAAATATAAAAATTATTTGGAGCAACATTGGCGATGGCGGTAGGCGTTCGTCTTGCGATCGGTGGTTTGCCGGTTTGATTTCTGGTCCACCTGCCCTTATCGTTTGTTCCCTTGGCAAGACACTTCACAAGCCTTGCTTGCTGGTGTTGGTCAGAAGGGCCGATGGTGCAAAATTGCAGCCTTGCTTCAGTCAAAATGCCCCACAGCGGCTGAAGCTACAAACCGGTAGCTTGCCATCATCAGTGTGTGAATGTGCCCTTTGATATTTTAATTTGATATACAAAAAGGAATATTAATGTATTTATTGTTATTATTATTATTATTATTATTATTATTAAGATCCAGTCTTGCTATTTTTAAATCAGTTGACATTATGCATAATGTAAATGTTGTACTCTACGTTATGTATTTTCCATGCACATAGCGTCATTTAATAGCAAAATGAAGTAACTAATTTACGTATAGTTTTTATAAAATTGCTGTAAATATCAAACATATCTGAAAAGAAATTTGACTTTGCAATTAGACGCCTCAAAATTGGCTTCTGTCTCTTTAAGAAGCTCCTGCTCTTTCCACCTTCTGCATATCATCACAATGTTGTTCTTCCATTGTGGCTTTTACAAACATTAGGAGCAGTGAGCAGTATTTTGTATGATAGGAGGTGCTCTGTTGGGCAGAATCTCCAAAGATGCATAAAAGAATCAAAGCAAAACTCCAAGTATGCTTTGATCAGGGAAAAACATTAAAAACATGACGTAAAGCTAAAAAAAAATAAATAAATTATTTTGCATAATACCCTATTTTTTTTTTACATTCAACGTTACAAATTATCTTATGTAATCATACATTTTGTCCTTGTTGCACATAGTTTTAAAAATCTACCTAGTGTGCCAACACAAGTAAGTGATGAAAACTATTTAGTACTAATTAGTTAATTAGTGGTTTTAGTGTGTACCATTATACCATTATCTTGTTGAGAATAATGGAGCAACAACTGCAAGCTTCAGACTATTACTACAAGAGTGCAACTGCCTCAGACTCGGTCTGTCTCTTATTCAAAATCCCATAAATTAAATTATCCTTCCAAGCCCTTTTTTTTTTTTGCATGAAAGATTTCTGCCTGCTCTACTCTGCTCTTGTCCACCACTTTAGCATCTCCTTCTAGACTCCAATAGCAGTTCTCAAATCATAGTTATTATTGGTATCATGCAGTAGGAATTTGTCTTTCTGAAATTAGTTACAGGAAATTCATAGTTACAGGTTACATTGTCAGAAAAGACTCTTTAAATGTGACATATATTTTCTATTCAGAGTGTTGTGTAAGCAGCTAAATGTTTATCATGGTTGGACAACAGCAATATTAAATTTAACAAGAATACTGCCCAAAAGTGTTAAAGCAGAGAAAATGCAAAAGTAATTAAATACATGTTTGTTGCGAAAGGTTTAAGATCTCCCAGCTATTATAGCTGCTCTTTTAAAGGATTACATGAAGGACGACTTAGCACATAGAAACTTCCACCCACTCACGACAAAGACTGGGGGAGGCAATTTCCCTTCCAGCCACACTCCATACATCTTTTATGCTATTTTGAAATCCTGATTTCAAAAGCAACTATTACACAACCCCCTTGCTTTGCTTGTGAATTAAATGACTTTCAGTCGGTTGACAACATTAATCCATGCATAGGCACATGTGTGAAGATTGTGCTGATCCTGGCGTTGCTGTAGCCGTGTGCAGTTGCAGCAGCAGGAGAGTGATGATCGAGGGCTCCGTCGTATCGACCGAGCTGGTGTCAGGGCTACCGAGAAGAAGACAGACATTAGCAGGAACGCTCTTAGGATAGAGAGAGAGAGCATCTAGCCACTAGAAGCACAGGATGAGGCAAACAGCATACGCAGAGGCCCGGCAGTCTGTAATTTGAGGATGGCAGATGTAATGTTTTTTTTTGTTTCTTTTTTTACATTTGCTTTGCTGTTCATGAGTAATCAGAAGTCATTTTGTTGGCACCAGTGTCTCTCTGTTTAATGGTGAGTGCCACTCTCTGAGGCATCTGTTTTTTTTTTTTTTCTTTAAGTATGCATACTTTCATAAGTGTGCATGTGTTCATGTGTGTGCGCGTACATCAAAGTTACTCTCCCATTAGCAGCGTTGCAACCTGAAAACCTCACCCTGCGGATGTCACACCTGCAGCCCACGGACTCTCATCTCATTTGACCCGAGTGTTGCCGTCGCTTGCAGTATTCTCACCCTCACTAACAAAGTGATACCTGACCGCCTCCTGAGTCTCAGCTAAGACACCACACACACACACACGCACACAGACACACACACATAGATGCACACATGCATAAACACTGCGATTTCTCCATAAAACACATGCCACCTGCTCGAGTCCCAAGTTGTCTTGCACATTCATTAAGAAAAAGAAAGAAAAGGGTTTCAATCAGGAATTGTTTGACAACATTAAACCATTTATCTAAGACTTGTAAAGTAATTAAGGTGTTTTAAAATCATTATGTCCCATCACCATTTCATCCATTTGTAGTTTTTGCTGTTTTTTTTTAACTAGTTTTCTCAGTCATGAAATGGAGTCATATTTTTAAGACCTTCATACTACAAAATGCATCATTTCCAATAATCAAAAAGGGAATGTTGTATGATTTTCAATCATTTTCAATACCTTCGTCACATATTTGTACAAGAAATGCATTTACTTTTATGATTCATGAAAATACTTAACTCCAAGAAAATAATAAACTGGCACACAATACTTTTAGTACATAGGAATGAAGCAGATTATTTACAGAGAAAAGGGACTAAGGAAGGGACAAATTGGTACGAAACAGTGATTTCAATTAGTAAAGAGGTGAACTGACTCTTAGCAGTCCAGTGTAATATTTAAATTGGACACCTCCCTGTGTTGTGCATAGTGTACTGTACAGAAAAATGCCCATAAACCATTGTTGTGTGCAAATTTAGTATAAGACTTGAGGTTCCTCTTTTGTGCCAAAATGAATTGCACTTCTTTTAAAGAATCTTGATTTATTTTAATAGATGTCAAAGTGAAAAATCATTTAACTGGTCTAATCTGAGCAAAACTATTCTACACAGAACACCGTTTACATAACCTGAGATTAATGAAAGCTTTATTGTATTTGTAAAAACACAAAAAAGTAATTTTACAAAAAGATATGATCAGATGGAGGCGGGCACGAAGGCATCGTTGCATAAACCTGAATACAATTATATCACATTTCCGTATTTCTTCCCACGCTTTGAACCATGCGGCTGACAACCTTTTCTGTGGATTTTTCTTCAACCGCCAGGGGGCTCTGTAGCAGAAAGTGAATAATTGGAAGTCAAAATTGGAAATCAAAGAAGAAAGTGCTGATTTTCATTTAGAACAAGCACATGCTGTTAGCAGCAGGCACGACAGAGAAATGTTTTCAAATTCATACCCCCCTCATCATGGAAACAACACGAAGAAGAACGAATGCATGGTTCGGCGTTGGAGGCTGGGTCCTTAACAGCAGATTTACGAGCTTGTGAAAAAGCGGCGGCTTCTAGTGAGGTGCGCTCTATAGTCCGTAAAATATGGTAAATAGTTTATTTAAAACACAGCTTTATGCTTTGTGAAACCTGTTTATCGAGGATGCAGAAGGAGGAGCCCAACCAGGGTGACGTCTACGTAAGTCCAGCCTCAGCTGATCTCATTAGAATGAGCCGGTGTGGCATGCAGCTACTCTTGCAACCAATATGAACGCAGAACTTTAATAGCTTCAAGTCGAGTTTCTGCTCTTGTTTTCAACCTACATGTTCTGACCCCTATTACACACCCCAGTTATCTCAGTGTAATCCAAAAGCAGCTGCTCAGGAGTACATGCACTGCAACACACACACACGTTCAGGCGCAGCATGTTGTGCATCACAAATCTAAAAAGACATAGAGAGGCTGAGTGCTAGAAGAGGCTATCTGTGTGACACACGCAAGTACTGACCTAATGTAGTAGCACACTAAGTACACGCACACAGAACCACAAGCATTCACACTCTCGGGTTAACATCAAAGTTGCCACACAAAGAATGGGATTCAAAGAGAGGGGTGGGATCCTTCTTTGCCACTTCAAAGCTTCTCGGTTTTTTAAGAGAAAATCATCTCCGGCCACCCCACCATGTCCCTTAAGCTATGATTTAATCAGTCGTTGCAAACTATCCGTCTGTCTGTCTCTGCGTGTGTGTGTGTGTGTGTGTGTGTGTGTGTTTGTCTCTCACCTATTTTGTTAGCCAACAGCTAATATGTAAACCCAGTTAAATGCGTAATTAAGGAGCTCTGTGAGCAGATGGTGGGCTGAATTAATTGAACACTCCTGGTAGATGAAGCAGGAGAGAGAGAGAGATAAAGGGAAGATGGAGTGAGAAGGAGAGTACAGAACAAGGAAGATTGGAATGTATGAATAATGGGAAAAGATAAAAGTGAAATAATCACAACCAGTTTGTCAAGACCTCCAAACGTGTATTCTCATTTTGACCGGCGGGTTTGTGACGGACACTGCCTGGCTGGAAATTGATTGAACCACAGACTTTCTAATGTCGTATTTAGTCAAACTGGGATAGATGTTTGACTAGATGTATATTTCCATCAGGAATCATTTTTCCTTGGTGTCAGTTTTTTTTTTTTTGTTTTTTTTTTTTTCTTTTCTCCAGCCAAGTGCGGGACACACAAACGGACTGAAATGAACGTTAACTCCAAGAGTTAAATCACTGCGCCTTACTATTCTGTGACTGCTCCAAGAGTCTTGGCGCCTGAATTGGCCGAAGGATAATTTTGTTTACCTCTATAAACAGATCAATTTTGGCCAGTTCTAATCAAATGAAATTAAGTATGTCAGAACCGAGCCTCTGCCCTTTCCCTGCCAACACAGACAAGAAAGCATTGTGAATAATGCTTTCTTGTCTGGGAAATCGGCTCCCTGCTTAATTCATTGAATAGTTTAGCACATGTCTTCTTCAGCGCAACCTAATGTCTTAATAATCTAAATGAATATGTATTTCATTGTGGTTTGCTTTGCTTATTTTCAGGGTCAAGTCATGTTTCGCAATGGAGAGAGGATGGGCACAATAAAATTCAACCAGTTTCAAGGTACTTTTTCTGAATGACCTGCCTTTATTTTCTGACCTATCTGTCTTCATTTCTAAGTGCAAAATGTTCACTTTTCATGTTGCAACCGGACTGTCATCTATTTTATTAAAAATTTGTTCCCTTCCCCAACGCACAGAACATGACTGTGAAGTTGAAGGGAAGGCATGTTTTTTTTGTTTTTTTTGTTTTGTAGATTCTTATATGGACAATCATATTTAGAATTTAGTTACTGACATAAATAAACTCTTTGACAATAATCGGATTTATTAAGTTGGTCTGTGCAAGTGTAAGAAAAAAAAAAAAGTTTTTTGCAAAATGGTTCCAGTCATAGCTTAGCCAGATTGTCTCTGAACTTAAACTTTAAGTCTTAACAGAGATTCTCAGTTGCACTTAGGCATAAACACTGATTGGGTCATTCTTACACTATATGCTATTTTATCAAGAATACACTTTGATGAAATAGCATACAGAAAACTAAAGCACTTTTTTATTATTTTACTTCCAGGTAGTATTTACAAGCTCCATAAAAAATATTCACCACCTTAGATGTTTTACCCCTTTTTATTGACTTTAAAAATCAGTCATGATCAGCAGAATTTGGCTTTATGTGCTTTTAATTAGATATAAAAATACATATATTTTTTTTATCCCTGTGGTTCTGATGGAACTAAACATGAAACAATAAAACGTGGAAACATTTGCATGGCAATTTGTTGCAGAACAACTCGTCAGCCCAAAAGAGAATATAATTGTCTATACTTTTGGTAAAAGTTTTTTTTTTCTAACTCAGAAAATATAACTTCTTTTTCTATTTGCTCTTTTTTTGAAGCATTTTGCTATAATGCGCTAATTCCCATCTGATTGTATTCTTGCCATGCTTGATGTGCATAGACTGGATCCTTTAAAATGTTTGAAGTTGTGGCTGAAGTGCATCACTGAAATGTTTCACATGTTGTGCCCTCACGTCCGCCTTTAAAGTTGCTGTGAATTATTCATGTGACTTTTGCATTTCTTTGTCAGTAAAACAATCAATATTTGTTGAGACTGTTTTCCCCTGGGGGAATATAAAAAAAGACATCTCCCCAAAACTTTCTCTATGGAGCTGTACCATGCTTCTGGTTTGGCAGAACTTGAATTGATGTGTCCCCTCCTGTGGTTATTAAATGCATTTGTGGAGGTTCTGAGTCAGAAAAATAATAATAAAAAATCTTCTGTTGTCTTCCTATAGTGATACACCCAGTGGTTGTTTTTGAGCTGACAGGATTTCCTGAGAATAACCCAAAAGATTGGATCTTAAAGCAGGGGATTCCCACCTCCCAGGCATCTTAGGCTGTATGAAGCACAGCAGCGTGCTGGTGTTCAGTCCTTTCTCTCAGCCTAACCATCTTATCTGTCTGACTGCAGAGAGGCTTGATCCCTCTGGCTGGTTACAACTCACAGTCGTACACTCTGCGTATGTATTTTCTCTGTGAAACCAGAAGAAGTATTTGGAACAGAGCTAATGTGCAGAGTCAGGGTTTCTTAAAATCTGCATCTATCCAGTCTGTTAGATTGGGTCTACTCTGTCGAGGGGTTTCAGTGTGCAAAATCAGTGTGCAGCATTCTCTAATGATTACTGACCCTTCTCTATTTCTGCTTCACCACTTCATCAACCACTTTGTCACATACCCCAGTGTTTACTCTGACGTCTTGCCTTTCTTTAGGCTGGAACAGGGTTTTTCATTATAAATAAAAAAATAACTTTTGTTTTGCGAGGCACTGGAACTTGACAGAGATGGAAATTTCCTCAGTTTTAAACTTAGTTTTGTAAAAAGATCTTTAAAGTTGTAACCTGCTTGAATTGTTTTCTTAGAAATAGTTTACAAAAATGTTTTTTTTTCTCTCTCAAAAATTGCAACAGAAGGCTTCTGTCATATCTTCATGCTATCTCCATCTCTTCTTTGCTATCTTTGCCTCTGATCAACCTTTGCTGTATAATCGTACGTCTCACATGTACATAGGAAGTGATTTTGTCACCCCTTTTTGACACACTGCACCAAAGCTCTTGCTGGTTTGAGAGGTAGTGAGGGGTTGCCCCATTTTAAATATTTTTAAAGGTGGTGATCTTCCACATGTCACTGTCATCTTTCTGCGGCCTGTAATCCTCAATTTCTCCCTGTCGGTACGTTTTTAGTCAGCGGTTTCTGACTCCTGTTTTCCTTCTAATGGAAATGAAATGAGCGAGAGTTGTGCATCAGAGGCTCTGATTGCTAACACTGTCCTTGTGATTTAAAATATACATGCAAAAAATATAAACAATAGAAAACCATTACTCCAAGCAGCAGTTTTTCTATTGACTTTAGGAATTTTTAGCTTGAGGCCAGTACCCTGAGATTAAAGAACATGAGGTGAAACACACATGTGCAGAAGGTCAGAGAGATAGGAAGGCACCAGAACATTTAGAGCCTTCTAGGTGGCCAGCAAGAGCTTAAAACCATCAAAGATCTCCAACTCTGTCTTATCAGGATTAAGAACCAGGACATTATGAGATAACAAACCCATAATTGCAGAGAGACTAGCTTCTTCTTTTGACAAGTGAGTATAGTTTCCTATGATAGAAAGCATATGCAGCTGAAAAATGATGATAATAGAACAAAAAAGAAGACCAAAAGACACAAGATTGAGAGAAAATAGCGATAGACCAAGAACAGTGTGCCTAATAACTGCTTAAAAGAAAAAAAAAAAGATGTGGAGTGAAAGTAAGAAATGAGTACAACAGCTTGAGAGGAAATTATGGAGAAAACAGGATAGGTCACATCACCAGTTTGACAGCATTTCAGATATTTAAAACAAACCAATAATTATCAAGATCAACTGATCAAATCCCTTCTTTGTATTAAACTGTTTTCTATCAAATTGCCGAGCCCTATGCTCAACTCTATCCAATAAAACAGTCCACAGTGTCAAACGCAGCATTTTGATGTAGCAGTTTTTAAAGATGAAGTGCGATCAATATCTGTGCTTACCAGCAAATCGTTTAGCTTTCATTGGTGAAAGCCGTTTCTGATGATTTCCTTCATATCCTGCCATATTATGCACACACATAGTGCAGGGTTTCAAGTATGCTGTGCAGTACACCGACATACATTCAGGTCAGCGTTTTCTGCTGTAAAAAGAGTTTTCCACTGGTCCTATGTAACATGACAATTTTTGGAGGAAATTGAATTTGAGTTTTGATTTAATTTACTCATAAAAATGAACATAGTCATCAAAACTAACAGAAACAAACACTTGACGTAAACCACTCGGTGCCCAATGAAAGTCACACACGGGCTTCACTTTTTGAATTAAGCCACTGATGATATTACAACTTGCTGAGAGATATCTGTATTGTCGGCAAAAAAGGCATCTCTGTGTTTAACTATAGCTGGTTATTGCAAGTTGTTGATTTTAACCCTGATTATTTGGCAACAATGGATAGAAAGCATTGAAACACTGAGCAAGGGTTACTTTTTTTTTTTCCTGGATATGAAAACAAGAGAAAACGGGGTTAATTAATGACAGCGAAAACTTTTCCAGCAGCTTCATCGAGGAAAGTAACAGCCAGACAAGCTGGGGGCAATTTCTTTGATGTGGTTAGAGTTCTTTTGCCAAAACACTAAAAAAAAAAAAAAAAACAACAAAACTTTGAACCTCCCTCTTTAATTGACAGAAAACTGCGGCTTTCTGTAATAACTAAGAGACACTTCTACCTGTCCTACCTCTGCACATAGGTGCATATCTGGATGTGTGCAGCTGCTGGTGGCACGCTTGCTTTTAGTATAGCAAGAAGCTGAGAAATTCAGCATATATCTGATGTCATTTGAGAAAATAAAATAAACCCATATGTATGTAACTATTAAGTGAAGGTATAGCTGTTGTGCATGGATTAGATATATAATAAATGTAAGATTATGTAAGTGGTTAAGGAGTGGGGAGTTTTATAGGTTTATACTTCTTCCACACGCTCCCTTCAAAAAAAAAAAAAAAAAAAAGGTTTTATTTCCTCCAAAAGCATGTTGTGAGTCTGTGCCTGGAGCAGGTTTTTCTTTTTTTTTTTCTTTTTTTTTTCCATCTACAACTTGTCTGATATGTATTCTAGTTTGCATAAAATGTTTGATTTATAATGGTGGACTTACTCATTCGCCTGATTGCAAGGAGGGATTTTGTTTGCAGCTAAAGAAAAATTACATTTGAATTTAAACGAACCCTGGTACACTTCTCTCTTAATTCATCTGGAAGTCACATGGTCACCTGTAAAAGGCAACTTACCAGGTTGAAAATCCCTTGGTAGAATCGCCTTAGTGTGACATTTTCAGCTGCCGCTGGCTTTCTGTTGAGGACTGAAGATAAGATAGTGATTCACCAAGAGGAAAGCAGAGTGGAGCAGAGTGGCCCACTGGCAGATGATGTTGTCTGTCATTTTTCTTGTCAAGGACACTTCTGCCTAAAAGTTCAATTGGTCTTTGAGAGTGAAAACGGGGAAAATAAGGTGGTAAGGCTCGCACATGCACACCTGAACAAACTGCAGGTTGTGCATGTTTCCTACAAAGAAAATTAACAGCCTGTCTGCTTTTTCCCCACCCCTCCCATTTGCTTTCTCCTTCCTCCCAGTTGTAAAGTCCAACCAAGTAATAGAAAGTGAATGGCCATGTTTGCCTGACGGGGCCATTCCTTCTCTAATATTACACTGGAGAGGCTGTTTGTTCATAGATGTGCTTGAGAAACATTTCTGGGTAGAAGAGAATGGTGATAACCACAGTGTCTAGATTCTAGTTTAGATATAAACCCACATGTTTCTCCTTTCACATCAGTTAGCAAATCCTCCAGTTACTGTTTATCTACGGTGCTTTATTATGTTTTTTATTACCTTTTAAGTTTGATCAAGATAAGTATTAAGTTATTTATTAATTGGTGCTGTACTTAGGACAACAGAGCTATTTTAAACTGCTTGCTATGGAAGAGAAGCTGCTTGAGTAAGTGCTGAGGAAGACGCCATGTGGCACTTGGCTGACCAAACGAGGAGGCACAGAATGTGGCACAGGCCGGGCAGCAGAGCAGGTTGCTGGGGAAGGCTTACAGCTGCAGGAAACAACTACACTACTGCTGCTGCCTACTAAAGATTGTTCATTTGATAACAGAAAGGATTGGTTACACCTGGAGGCTCGCGTGCAGAATGAGACCGCTGCAGTCTTTTGCTTTTCAGCTATGTCCTTGGAAACATAGCTGTATGTGAAAACAGTGCAGGAAGCTCTCACTCCACTAGTGGGTCTGTGAAACCAGTCTGGATGCTTTAGCGCACATTTGAGTTAAATGGTTGCTTTTCTGTAGACATTTGATATTTGCAGAGTTTTATTTATTTATTTATTTATTACTTTATATCTGTCAACCCATTGTATGAAAATATTGTAAATACATATTTATGTGTGTGGGGAATGTTTTTTAATTATTTATTTATTTTTTTTTACAGATGGTCAGGAAGTAAAAGTGGGAGAGTACAATTCCATCGCCGACATCCTGGATCTCCAGAACAACTCCATCAGGTTCCAAGGTATGACAACTTTACTTGTGGAAACTATTGGGGTAAGGGTGTCAATCTTTCCTTGCAGGGAAAAAAAAACTCCCCCACTCAGATCCTTTCCTTAAACCCTAGAGAGGTTTAATACCTCACACAGGGCAGGACCAGGTATTTCACTATAAGTTGCCAAAGCAAGCTAACTGAAATGCAGGAAGGCAATGAAACCAGTTAAATAATTGTCCTAATATGCTTTTTGATTGTTAGAGTTGCAGCTTCTAGCATTCATTCACATTCAAGGGCTGCCTTTTTGGTCATCCACAAGTATGATGCGAACAAATGAACAGGCTGTTGCCATTTGATTTCAAGATCTCTTGTGTTTGTTTGAAACGCCATTTGTTTTGGGTGCTGGTGATAATTATAAAGTGGGACTTTCAGAAGCCATATTTAGATGACATTAGAATTGAATTTAGATTTAAATAACTTTAGGCATTCTATACGATAATCATGCTGAGTGTAATGCTGGAGTACGTCAGGAAAAGCCCCAGTTTATTGCCCCACAATGTTAAGAATCAGTGGTCACAAATATGACCAGCTGTTATTGATTGTCCATTTTATTCTTCAACATCTGTAGCCTGTATATAAATATGTATTTGAGTGCTTAGTATTCAGAACCCAACTCACGGGCAGTGACTCAGGTGCTGCACATCTACACTCAGTCCAAACTGGTTAAAATTGCTCATAATTTATGATGTAGTTATTCAGAAATAAAGTCTGCATATTACATTTAAACATAATTTGTCAGAAAAAATAAATAAATGAAATTGTTACATTTTAATGTAATAATTTAGGCCTAGACACAAGCAGTGCAGTTTTGAAACTCTGCAGCAATGCAGGGTTAAAGGTGACCTAGATGTCATGAGTTTGATTGAAGAAATGTTGATTTGAGTAGCCGACTCTGAATTGGGGCGAGAAAAAAAAAAAAATTAACTTGAGAACATCTCTGTTTTAAACTTGGCCTGTGTCTGCCTGTTTCAACAATTATTAATGTTCTCTTTTCTCATATTAACTGTATTTTGTGTCTCTAATGTCTGTAAAACTAAAACAAAGGAATTAGATACATTATACATTTTGACAATATGTATGTAATGTAACTCATATAGAGCAAAATACATATATATTCTTTTGTGTCAGCATCTGAATATTTTTGAGCCTGAACCAGGATCACAATTCACCACCCTAAGCTGGCCTCTCGCCTCTAAATTATTTAACGGTCCATTTTTCCTCTCTTTCGGGTTTTGCAAGTGTTGACACACTTTGGAATTTGTTTGATCCTTCTGGCTATTCTCCCCCCACGGCGCTCTTTCGCTCCATCTTCCCTTCTCTGCCCCACATACAGAAGCTCCTGCAATGAAAGCTTCCTGCTACGTCCCTCACCACAGTTAAACACACAGAGGAAGCCCATGCGATTAATTCTAAATACTAGAAAATGCAACGTTTGCCCACAATAACCCGAATGTGGCGCCGGTAGAAAGATTTACATGAACATTTGGAAGCTGAGCTTGAATAAGTTAATATTTTCTGCAGTAGCATATTTTTTTTAGAAGACGACGAATAAATCTAAAGGAGGAAAGTTCAAATAAATAGATTTCTTTTTTTTCTTTTCTTTTTTTTTTTTGGAAAAAGTTTAGCAGAGAAAATGGTTGAAACTTTAAGAAGTATGGAAATAACCTCCTCTCCTCCTTTGTGTCGTAGGTGTGGAGCCTCCCAAAGATCGCACGTTTGTCCGTCTACAACGGCGCCACATCAATGTGCCACTGTACAGCATCTTGTCTACTATAACCATCCTGGGGATGCTAATGGCCGGGGCTTTCCTGTTCTTTAACATCAAGAACCGAAATCACAGGTCAGCATCTGGAAACAGACCAGTGCAACCTTGGCAAAAAACATGCTAGCCAGTGTACTGTGGGAGAAAAAAAAATAAATTAGCAGATCTTGTAAAGGGAGAGAGATGAATGAAGGCCGGACAAGCTTATGTGGGGTGAATAGTAATAGAAATAAAAATGAATCTAGTCAGATAATGCCATTGTTTAATATACTTGTGTTTTTTTAGACTTTTTTTTTTTTTTTTTTTTTTTTTTTTTTTTCCCATGGTTTTTTTGAGTTTTAAAAGTTTTTGTTTTTCTCTTTTTT